CCAAAATTATAACTTATAAAAAAAATTTACCAAATAACTTCAACTTAATTCTAAAAGCTATTATTTTTCATAAGAGTTTTATAATAGCTTTTAAGCTAGAAAAAAACTAGGTCAAACAGGCTCTGAATTTGATGCCATGATATGGCATTATCCCCCCACCACTCGATCATCCCAACCTTTCTTTTGTTTTTCATCTCTGTTCTTTTTCCTTGCCCATCCCACAACAAACCCCACCCATGACTCTGACCCAACCAATCGCCTGACTCATGCCTTACTCGCACGGCTTAACCCTCAAGGATCTTATAACTCAAATCTCATCTCATCCTTCTCTAAGACTTGGGAGAAGAGCAACCATGGTGCAACAGCTAAAGTTTATTGGTGGCATGGTAGCCCTCTCCGCACCAACCCTCAACTCAAATTTTGGAAATTTTGAAGATAAAATTGGTAATGTGGTAAAGTTAATACCTGTTACTTACCTTGAATGAATTCCTTCTTTGGCTAACTGATATCTCTATTATATATGATTATTTTGACACATTTTAGAAGCTTAAGTAGCTAGATCTTTGAGATTTTAGGTTCGAATTTTAGCATTTTAAGTGTTTTTCTAGTTTAAATTTTGATTACTTGTTAAATGATTAATTTAAGTTATTTTAGTTAAATTTTATGTTGTTTTGTTTTAAATTCTTTAAGAGTAGTTATTGCTAATTTCTCTTATGACTTTTGTAGGAAATTGATGAAAAAGGCTCATTTGATGAAAATCAGTGCAAGTATGGCCATGACTTCGTTCATATATGTTTCGATATTTTGACCATATCTCTCTCTAAACAACTCCAAATGAGGTGATTCTTGAACCACTAGAATCCTGAGAAGAAGAGCTACAACATTGATTTTTATCAATTCACCCAGTTCTGACTGGATCATGGTCAAATTATTTATCAAAGTCGGAGCACTGTAACAGTATGCAAGGACTGAATATGATGCGTTCGGAACATGTCAGGGTGAAACTCACATTTGAAGTTGATAGACTGCCATAGTGTTGGGAGAACAAGGCTGCAGCATTGATGAAAGGAAGAAAACATACAAATTTCCAAAGAGCTCAGCGCTGCAGCACTGGAGAAGTAGCACAGCAGCGATGGGCGACTTTCCAAAAATAAAAGAAGTTGACGGTATTTTAGAAATTAGGTTATTTGGAGCCTATTTAAGGGACATTTTTTAGAGATTTTGAAGAGGAGGCAGCAAGCAACTATTCTGGAGATTTGG